CCTGCACCACCCCGCCCCAAAAAAAAAAAAAAACCCCAAGAAGATTTTTTGCAGCTGAAGCCCAGGCAAGAGATGACAAATGATCCTAGTTGCATATAATTAGAGACTGTCCTAAATCTAAGTTGATCTGGAACCACTTCTCCCATCTCCAAGATAGAGATAATGAACAGACACTGGCTATGCCCAGTTGGCTCTTAAATCAGTTTAAGAGAAAATCCAATAAGGCATGGGATGGGATTCCCTGGCCTTCACTTTTCGTGTCCATAACATGGAACATATGGAAGGACAGAAATAAGTTATGCACGGAAAATTTAACTATACCACCATATGTGACTGTAAAAGATGCCAAGCAGCTAGCGCAGGGAATGGTTCAAGCTTTTGAGGAACTTGACCAGAAGGACCCAATGAAAGAAGCTAGGCTCATTTCTTGGAATTTTCCTTTGACAGGTTAGTGCAAGGTGAACATAGATGACTACTCTTAAGGTTTAATCCAATGTCAGCAGAAATTGGTGGACTCCTCGGAGACGAAAGAGGATATTGGATCAAAGGATTCCTTGGAAGAATTAACATCTCCTCAAGTCTTAATGCTGAATTATGGGCCATCTACAAGGGACTCAAACTTGTTGCTGACATGGGAAGAAGAATTGTTATTGAGACAGACTCCCTCGAAGCCTATAGTCTCATTCGGGATATGCATGAAGGCAATCTTCCACTGAAACACTTGGTGGAAAAGTGCAAGGCAATCATCAGGGCCAACAAATTTGAAGTGTCTCGCACATTGAGAAGGAAATCAATGCACTGATGTTCTGGCAAACTTGGGAGTCAACCAAGAAGAGGAACTGGTGGCGCTAACTTTGCCGTCTGAGACTATCTCAGGTTGTCGGAGAGCTAAAGCTAGTAATGTTTTTGTAGGAGAACCCAACTAGATTGAGGTCCCTCCCCAAAGCATCGAAAAAGAGAAAAAAGAAACCTTGGGCCCCTGAACTTGGACCCAAATGATAGTGGATGTGAGGCCGCAACGTCATCAAGCTGACATGTTGTAAATGTCATAATTAGATAACTAATCATCTATATCATGCAATAATTATGAAATTTATTTATCAATATGCCATCTTATTATTAAATTAAATGGTTATACTATGGCAACACGATGATATAGTGTTATTGTTACATCTAATATTTACTCCGGGGGTTGTTGTTGGGGGGTGATAGTTGCAAATAAATGAAATATTTTGAAGTTGTGTTCTTTGGAAGTTTAATATTCAAAATTTATTGTAGGAAAATATTAACAATTTAAGTTTAAATAATATTGTTGTTAATAAACTCCAGATTTGTGGTTATAACATAAATTTATTAAATAATGCTATTGAGATTTAATTTATTATGTTTTTTGAATTGACTGTGAGGTCTATTAAGTATTGAAATTTTTTGTTGATCTAATGATTTTACTGAAATTATATTATTATGTCAATAAATTAGATCAAATTTTTAAATTATTCTTCAAATTCATTTGACTTTGCGCATTGAAATACATATCGCTTGCACGTTACTTGAAGAAAAAACTATTCCATAATGATTTTGAATAACTTTTATTCTCAAAACTTAAAAAGAAAAACAGAAAAAAGAGAAACATTGAAGATTAGAGAAAAATTAATGGAAATGCTATTCATTCATGGTCTCTGAATCATCATGAAAGGATTTAGGGATGATTCAAAGGCTGAAGTCTTGAAAACCTCCTGATAGCCCATTTAAACTGTCAAGAATTGGAAAAGAACCTCCATCTCCACCACCCATAAATGCTTGTAGCAAGTTTGGCGTTCCTACCCCATCACCTCCCCCGCCACCCATTAATGTTTGTAGCACGTTCAGCCTTCCGCCACTGCCCATTAATGCATGCAGCAAGTTCGGTCCTCCACCTCCTCCTCCGCCCCCGCCGCCGCCACCCCCCAGTATCCCCTGCATCAGGTTCTGGCCAGCCGACTGAGATCCACCATTGAGTACACTCTGAATTGACTGGTTAAAGATGTCATTATTCTGCCTCATCCCCACCGGCCTAACGAATCCATAACCACTCTGGTTCATGAAATTTGGTACAGAACTCTGAGGAGCAAATCTAGATGTTTGGGACTGACCCATCTGAATTTGTGGCGTCAGAGCTGGAACTGGATCAACCCTCATTGTTGTTTGAATTTGTTGCATTGGGGATTGATTCGATTGAACAGTTGCACAGTTCAAGTGGGCATCAAATTCACAGAAGTTGCACCGATAGAGCCAGTGATTAGACCCTGTGTTCTTGCATATATCACAGGAAAAGCTTTTGTTAGGGTAAGGAGGAGAGAAAGTGAGGTTGAGTTGGTGATGATGAGATTGATGAGAGAGAGACAAGGGCATAGAAGCACAAAGAATATGGAGATCGAAGTTACAAGCTTTGCAGTGGTAAGAGAATCCATTGCCTTCGTTCCCACACGCATCACAGTTGAATAAACCATCTGGGTAGATGGGTTTTGGGAGGAGAGAGAAAATGTGGTGTTGGTGAAATGGGTGTGTGATTTGCTGAGGCATTTGTGAACATTTGATATGGAGAAAGTAGTTGCAGGTTGGGCAAGTGTAGATGAATCCAGAGACACTGAGTTTGCACCCCGAACATGAAGCTAAGTTTAGGGTTTGCTGGGGTTGATGATTGCAGAGCTGCAAGGGATGTGGATGGCTGAAATGGTTGATTGACGGCTCAGCTTCTGAACTTATCTTCCCCATCTCTCTCTCTCTTTCTCTCTCTCTCACACACACACACAATGGATTTTTGCAGGTGAAGCTTCAAACAATGTTATGAACTTAAAGCCAATAGATAATTGACTTATTCGGGCCAAACAGTTGACAAAGGATGGGAGAGAGAGTAATACTGAACCAATTAACTCATGATTAATTCTAAATTCAGACGTTCCTTGTTTGAATTTTGATAATTTCTTAAAATTAAGTTGTGAAAAATTTATCTATGAATATCTAAATCTCAGTTTAGATGTTTTGTCTTTGACCAAACCCGAAAAAAGANCCCTGCATCAGGTTCTGGCCAGCCGACTGAGATCCACCATTGAGTACACTCTGAATTGACTGGTTAAAGATGTCATTATTCTGCCTCATCCCCACCGGCCTAACGAATCCATAACCACTCTGGTTCATGAAATTTGGTACAGAACTCTGAGGAGCAAATCTAGATGTTTGGGACTGACCCATCTGAATTTGTGGCGTCAGAGCTGGAACTGGATCAACCCTCATTGTTGTTTGAATTTGTTGCATTGGGGATTGATTCGATTGAACAGTTGCACAGTTCAAGTGGGCATCAAATTCACAGAAGTTGCACCGATAGAGCCAGTGATTAGACCCTGTGTTCTTGCATATATCACAGGAAAAGCTTTTGTTAGGGTAAGGAGGAGAGAAAGTGAGGTTGAGTTGGTGATGATGAGATTGATGAGAGAGAGACAAGGGCATAGAAGCACAAAGAATATGGAGATCGAAGTTACAAGCTTTGCAGTGGTAAGAGAATCCATTGCCTTCGTTCCCACACGCATCACAGTTGAATAAACCATCTGGGTAGATGGGTTTTGGGAGGAGAGAGAAAATGTGGTGTTGGTGAAATGGGTGTGTGATTTGCTGAGGCATTTGTGAACATTTGATATGGAGAAAGTAGTTGCAGGTTGGGCAAGTGTAGATGAATCCAGAGACACTGAGTTTGCACCCCGAACATGAAGCTAAGTTTAGGGTTTGCTGGGGTTGATGATTGCAGAGCTGCAAGGGATGTGGATGGCTGAAATGGTTGATTGACGGCTCAGCTTCTGAACTTATCTTCCCCATCTCTCTCTCTCTTTCTCTCTCTCTCACACACACACACAATGGATTTTTGCAGGTGAAGCTTCAAACAATGTTATGAACTTAAAGCCAATAGATAATTGACTTATTCGGGCCAAACAGTTGACAAAGGATGGGAGAGAGAGTAATACTGAACCAATTAACTCATGATTAATTCTAAATTCAGACGTTCCTTGTTTGAATTTTGATAATTTCTTAAAATTAAGTTGTGAAAAATTTATCTATGAATATCTAAATCTCAGTTTAGATGTTTTGTCTTTGACCAAACCCGAAAAAAGATTAGTCAAATAGTACATACATTAGTTCGAACATTCTTTATCATTGAAAAAAAAAAACTAAGTCTACAAAAAATAATACATACCAAATGATATGCCACTGATTTGTTTAGCAAATTTTGATTTTAAATAAGTAAAAATGGGAACAAAATCACTATCACGTAGACTCCACGTTATATCCTTTAGTCCCTATTTTTTTATTTACTTTTGAGAAATTAGTAAGGCAAATGGAACAAATTAAATTTTGAGAAGGTTAGTGGGTCTTTTAATCAAGTTGTATGACTAAGAGCAGCTATATGGAATGAAGTTGTTGGGTAGTAGCCTGGCCAGGTCAAAGTCAATCTTACGCGGTTTCAATGAACCGGCAGACTTGAAGGACCATGTGCTGATATAGTTCATGTCAATGGTTTTGTAGGGATTTAATTTGTTAGTATGATTTTTCAAACTAATTTATCACAATTATTAGATTAGTAACGAATTACAAAACACACTGAAATTCCCTATTAAATCAACAAATGAAATAAATAAATTAAATAAAAATAACATTGTTCGTAGTTCTAACAAAGTCATATACTTGGTACAAGCAAAAAAAAAGAAAAAAAGTTATATACTTAGCATATTTTCTTTTCAATTTTATAGTGTCATTTACATTAAAAAATTATAAAAAATATTAATAAAACCTAATTTAAAATTTTAATGAATCATAGTTATTGGATTGAATAAGATTCCCAATTAAGTCTCTATAGATTGCTCATTTATGAATAGATTTAGTTATTTAGAACCCTAGAAATTATTTCTGTGTTGTATGTGGGGATGTATAGAATAGTACTGTTATAATAAAAATAAATAAATAATTTGGGGATGTAATTCATTATGATTATTTGATGAAAAGATGGTCTTATTTATTTTTGGATGTCATTAAAGACCTAATGCATACAATATTAAATTAATTAATATAATAAATTAGATCCCAAGTTAAACTTCAAATAGCATTGCTAATGTTAAAATTGTGCTTATAAGAAAATCTCTAACCATAATAGTTATTTTAACTACTCAAAAAGTAACATTTTTCATTTTATCTACTCACTTTTTTAATACACGCTCTGACAGATTTTTTATATTTTTAACTATTTTCTTAAAATATTATTTCTCATTATTTTTAATTATTGTTCTTTTCAACAACTAAATTTCGAAACAACTAAGAAGACGAAGAATAGTGAACAATGCAGGAGACAGTGATATTTTGAAACTTCCAGCAACCTTCATAATACATATTGCAGGAGAATAGTGCAGTGAAATTTTGAATCTTCCAGCAACCTTCATGATACAGTGAACAGCGCAGGAGACGAAGAACAGTGTAGGAGGGAGAAAGACGAAGTGGACTGCTGAAGGGAGATAGACAAAGTGGAGGGAAAGCCAATGAAGAGAGCGAAAATAATATATATTATGTTTATAGTTGACTTCAGTGATATTTTATATTCAAATGTCAAGAATATCTAAATCAATTTATACACACTTTAGATTAATCATTTTCTTAGTCCGATCAAAAGTAAATCATTTACGCTGAAATTAGGGAATTTATAAGTAATAAATCTCTCATAGTCAGATTTAAAGAAATTGTTAAGATTTAAAATCAAGACTTTTGAATTTATAGTTCATCGTTGTTACCATTTGAGTTAGCACAAATAATGGAGATACAAAAAAATCATCACATCTTTAAGAATATAACACACAAAAACAATCATAAACCTATAAGAAAATAAGAGATATTGTAAAATGAATAATACTCTTAATATATATGGTCAATTTATGGGATTGTTTAAAATCATCAATGTTTTCAAAACGACATAAAATCAGTAATTACATGAAAGTTATTAGCAAGAAATTTAAAAACATGTCGATCGTTTGAATTAATGTTTCATCAAAACTTTTGTCCCTTCTGTCAATTTTACTAAAACCAGATGTATCGTGTTCAACTACGATACTATTAGTTGTTGTATCATCACCTATGAGACACTATAACTAATTTTGTCTACCCTACTTGCTTAAATATTCTTTTCTTAGTAACCTTTAGAAGGCTCTCATACATCAACACAAGTTTATTCGGTCTCATTATCTTCTTAGCAACCTTCAAATTTTTTTCCTATTTCGAAATTGAATAATTTTTAACACATGGGAGTATTTGAATCTTTCTTGATCTTCATAATAAAAAGGGCAAATCCCATTTCGCTTCTTGAAAAATATTAAAATTCTTAATTTACACCCTGAAAGTTTAATTTTTTTACATTGCACCCTGAATCATGTAAATCTGTTCCAATATAGTCCAAGGGCTAACGTCAGTCAGCATTTCTATCTGTTTGTAGCTCACGTGAGAAGCACAATAAATTAAGAGGCCATTGGTGTAAAATCACCAACATTTGGCCACCAAAACCTGTGGACAAGTGTCTCCTTCATATAGACCTAGGCATTGAACAAGAAGAAAAAGATGAAAAGACAAATAGAGAAAGGCAAAATGGAGGGAACCTGCTACTGTGGTCAAATGAAGACATCATCATGGACATATTTAAACCCAGGGAGAAGGTTTATCACATGTGCTAATGGTGAGATAAATCTGCCATTGTTAATTTAATTTTTTGATTTTAAGGTCCAGAACATTATTCAGAGCACAAATTTGAAATTTGTATAGTGTATTAAGGGCTTAATGATAAAAGTTTTTTAGCACAAGTTTCATATTTCAATCTTGCTCAGTTAGGATTTTGCTATTTTTTATTTTTTTTCTAATTAATGTTTCACAATTATTTATCACAATTATTTTTATTTTTTTATATAATTTATGTTTCATGGTGATTATTTTCAACATTTTAGTTCGTCAATGTTGCATTGTTAGGTTGGTGGTCCGTGTGAATACTTTGTATGGATCGACCCATCGATGTGTGGTTGTTCATGCCAAATAATATCTGGATTGTTACGTCGTGCGACGATGTTAAAAGCACAAAGGGATAGGTAGAGAACAAGGGTGAGGATGCTTTGGTTTGGTCTTGCTGTTTCTTGGTTGTCGTTTATCGGTATATGGCTCGATGCAATGAAAATGACCTAACTGGGCAACTGCCAACTAAAGGGATTCCTAAGTTTGAGTTACAATGACTGTCTGTAATTTTATCATTTTTGGAGATAATTTGAGGCTAACCAGTTGTTAGCTAGTTTGGAGACATTGCAAATGTTCCAAATTTTGTTTCCTGTAATGTGATCTGTAACATTTATGGAAGTAATGCATGAGCAGTGTTTGTGTCTTGGTTGTTGAACATATTGTAGTCGCCAATAATCCAATAACTCTTACAAATAGACAAGTATCAAGCAACCAACACATTCTGAATTAAACAAGAAGTAGCAAAGTTGTACATTAAAGTGGTGTTACAACAAAAAAAAATGAAAATCACTCCAGTTGTAGCTTGTACTATAAATTCAGATGCTAAATTGTACATTTCTAAATAACAAAAACCAATTCTTCATAAGATTAGGAACTGAGGTTCCTTCATTGTATTTCAAATGTTTTCTTTGCCTTGTCCCTGGAGGAATGAACAATTTGGTTGGATCTTTACCTGGTGACCTCCAATTTATGTTTGGTGTAGATGGAGTTCTAGATGTCCCTGCAGATGGAGTTGGAACTATAGGAGGAAGTGCAGATGGAGTTGCTGCTTGTTTCCTTCTGCTCATGAAAGAGGGTTGCATGCATGAGACAAAACATATAAAAAGCAATCTGATTTTTTTAAGTTAAAATACAAAAGCAACAGTACTAGCAACTTATGTCTTAATTTTCTTTGAATTGCTGGCTGAGTTGCATTTGAAGTTGCAGTTTGACTGTGACATGTTGAGGCATATATTGTCTTCCTAACCTGTTAATCAATAAACAGTGTATAGGTCATATTAATTAAATAGACCTTGTGAAAATTAGATTTACAAGGTAGGAGACTTACTGGGAAATTCTTTTGTGCCTAATGTTGGAACTGAAACTTGAGTTGTTGGTGCAGTTTGGCCTTCTGCTGCTGATGTGTTGTTATTCTTTTCCACTGGTGTTTCTTTAGTGTTCTTGGATTTGCAATTCCTTTTGTTATGCCCAGTTTTTCCACAATGTCCACATATGATGGATTTGTACTTCCTCTTCAATTTTGAACTGCTAGGTGGTTCATCACTCTCTCTCCTCCTAGCCTTTTTAGGACTGTAAGGCCTTTTGATAAAATCATGTTGAAGAAGAGCAACATAACCTATCTTTGGCCACATATCATTACCATTAATTGGGCTCATCAGATGACTATAACAGTTAAGGAAGGTTTCAACCTTGAACCATCCATCCACATAAACTTCTGCTGATAAATCTAGGTAGTAAAGGGCAGACACTGCATGTTTACATGGGATACCTGTCAAATTCCATTTCCTGCAACTGCAAATTTTCTCCTTCACATTGACAGTGCATCTATCTCCACTCATCCCAACTACAAATTTATTATCCTCATTCCAAGCTGGTATGAAAGCTGCTGATTCTACCTTTGTTCCATCCAATGTTTTTTGAATCTTAATTTTTTTTTTCAAGCATGGTCGTGATAGACTTGTCTCTGGCCTCAACAATGCTACTATTAAAACTCTCACATAAGTTATTCAACAACATATCACACTTAGGGAAGGTGCTGAAATGTGACTTAGACCAGTGGACTACTGGTTTTTCAGATAGTTAATTATATGCATATTCATATAACATTCTTAGTTCATCTATGATATTCTAAAAGTCAAATATTCTGGTAGATTTAGCAGCCCTCCACTACAAATCCTTCAGAGCTAGTCCCTTATGCTCAGTTTTGAAATTATTGTAGAAATGTTTTACACAAAACCAGTGTTCTGCATTTGGAAAAAGACTTTAAACGGCATCCAGCATCCCTTTTTGCTTATATGACATGAAACTCCAAGCATGAGTGTTAACAATGCACAAATCTTGCTTTAGAATTTGGAGGAACCACGCCCATGACTTCTTTTTTTTTTTTTTCTCTTACTCAATTATTGCATAAGCAACTGGATACATATGACTGTTAGGGTCAATCCTAGTAAAGTCCTAATAGAATATGTAACACTCTCAAATCCACCTTGGAAGATATTACTGTCTACAAGCTATTCAATCATGAGAGCAACTAAAAATAACAATTTAAATACTAAACCATTCATCCATTCAATAAGGAATAAATACTAAAGTCAATGAAACAATGTAACTTTTCCCAACTTACAACTCAATACTAAAATGTATCTAGCAGCGGAATAATTAAATCGAACTAAAATATTATTTCGTAAAAGTCTTTCAAAGTCTAGCCAATAAGGAAACATCTCTACTCCTCCAAGAAACAACCCACATCTTGATTCTCCACCACCTCGTAGTCAACCTACTCATCCGTATTGATAGTCTCTTTTATGCCAAAATTTATAAATGTGTTGTCGTAGGAGCTGAGCAAAAGCCCATAAAAAATTCTTCACAAATCCAGATAAAGTTTTAAAACAACATAAATAAGACAAGTCTCTTTTGAAAAATAGCATATGTACCTTTTTGAAAGTAAAACAATGATAGTCATAATGATCTCAAATGTACAGATTACAGTAATTCAACAACAGGAATAAACATTTAAAGATTTTCAATAACAACATCTCAATTTTCATGTGGGTTGGTTGGTTCTAAAGAATTTACACAACGATCTTACCTCATTCATCCAACACAAACTCAGTCATCTCAATCATTCCCCCAGGGCCACTTTACAAACCACTTTAGGATGGGTGTATACCGTCTTCCACGACATTGACGAATCTTTCATAAGAAAGGTATATTGTCCCTCAGCCTCAAACCTACGTGAACAATAGTGGTTGACCTCTCAAGAAAACGACCAACTACAAGTGTTAGACAACCATCTCACCCTCACTGGAATAGACTAACTTCTAACACTCTATGACAGCTTTTGAAGGTAATCCAAATTTGTCTCACCTAACCCATACAAAANAATTTGGAGGAACCACGCCCATGACTTCTTTTTTTTTTTTTTCTCTTACTCAATTATTGCATAAGCAACTGGATACATATGACTGTTAGGGTCAATCCTAGTAAAGTCCTAATAGAATATGTAACACTCTCAAATCCACCTTGGAAGATATTACTGTCTACAAGCTATTCAATCATGAGAGCAACTAAAAATAACAATTTAAATACTAAACCATTCATCCATTCAATAAGGAATAAATACTAAAGTCAATGAAACAATGTAACTTTTCCCAACTTACAACTCAATACTAAAATGTATCTAGCAGCGGAATAATTAAATCGAACTAAAATATTATTTCGTAAAAGTCTTTCAAAGTCTAGCCAATAAGGAAACATCTCTACTCCTCCAAGAAACAACCCACATCTTGATTCTCCACCACCTCGTAGTCAACCTACTCATCCGTATTGATAGTCTCTTTTATGCCAAAATTTATAAATGTGTTGTCGTAGGAGCTGAGCAAAAGCCCATAAAAAATTCTTCACAAATCCAGATAAAGTTTTAAAACAACATAAATAAGACAAGTCTCTTTTGAAAAATAGCATATGTACCTTTTTGAAAGTAAAACAATGATAGTCATAATGATCTCAAATGTACAGATTACAGTAATTCAACAACAGGAATAAACATTTAAAGATTTTCAATAACAACATCTCAATTTTCATGTGGGTTGGTTGGTTCTAAAGAATTTACACAACGATCTTACCTCATTCATCCAACACAAACTCAGTCATCTCAATCATTCCCCCAGGGCCACTTTACAAACCACTTTAGGATGGGTGTATACCGTCTTCCACGACATTGACGAATCTTTCATAAGAAAGGTATATTGTCCCTCAGCCTCAAACCTACGTGAACAATAGTGGTTGACCTCTCAAGAAAACGACCAACTACAAGTGTTAGACAACCATCTCACCCTCACTGGAATAGACTAACTTCTAACACTCTATGACAGCTTTTGAAGGTAATCCAAATTTGTCTCACCTAACCCATACAAAAGATAAAAATCGCAATTTTAACAAAAACGTGTATTCTACCAACCACAAGTTTCATCAAATTCATGTATCACAGTTTCACAATTTTCAATAAACCATAATAATAATAGAATTAAAATATGTAAGAGATCACATCAATAAAAGTTTCATAATTGCAATATCAAAATTCTAGGGTTTTACCAAAAATTTCAATTTTTTGAAAATACTACAATTATTTGGATATACACATGGTTTATTCAAGAATTGAAATTTAAAAACCATGAACCAATGTATTTTTTGCATAAAAGTTAGCAAAACTAGGATTTTGGAAATCAAGAACAAGAATTTTCTTGAACATAAATCATGTATTTTGTGTAAAACAACTTTTCAATTGGAAATGAATCAAGAATAAATGTTTATCTATCAAATAATTATCAAGAAGATTAAAAACATACATATATACTACACTAAGTTTTAATGAAAGAACTCAAGAACAATCTTCTACATTTAATCCAAGCGTGTTTGATCCATTCTAACATGAAGACCCCCTTTTAATCTTGTGTTTTCTCCTTCGCCCTCACTCTCTAGGGTCGTCTAGGGTTGAAAAATGATGAATTCTTACTTAAGAGGCATCCGTAGGAATTTATAGGGTCTAAAAACTAAACAGTCGGAGCGAGCCTGATTGTTGTAAAAATCGTGTTTGCATTCGAATGGAGATTGGCGTTCGAATGTGACTTAGAACGTTAATGGTGTTCAAACGTGGCTTACTTCCAGTATCTTGATTTCTATCAGAGACCAAAGTAATGTAACTAAGCTTCATTCGAACGTGAATGACATTCAAACGTGACTTCAGTTCCTGACTCAACTTCTACTCCAATTTTAACTTATTTAGAAGTCGTTTCATGAAATCTTTGTGAAATACATTTTTGTAAATTTTGAATCTAGTTCCTATTGCCCAAATCTCATGTTAATCCAATATTAGAGCAACAAATTATAATTAAACTTCTCAAACAATATCAAGGAAATCTCTTCCTAACTTCTATCAACAATGATCAATTTAACTCCCAATTATTTTTTTCTACTCTTACAATCTATATGATTTATTCTTACTTCATTACATATATAAATAGTACAAAATAATTATGTCATTATTTTAATATGTACATATAAGGGTTTACAGAATACCAGTCTGATAGCCTTGTAAATGGCTCAATCCAACCCAATTAATAGCTCCAACCACTTGAAAACTCATTCTTCAATGCCCCAAAGCATATGTAAATAATTTTGAACTTTAATTTATCACTTCCCAAAGACTTGGTCTTAATAATGCAAGTTGTACCTGGGTTAGTTCTTCTCAATAGTCCCACAACGACTGAACTGCTTCTTATCACTTCCATTTACAATTGTCATTGCTTTATCTTTACCTCTATAACCTGAATTTTTGCTCAAATTCATAACATGCTCCTTTTCAACAATCTCCTTAATGGACTTCATGGTCCATGTGGGATTAGATCTTATTCTGTCAACATGAGTACTTGCAATCCACTTGACATTGGCATGTGTAACTTTAAATGATCTATTGCAAGTACTATTATATGTTTTAACTTGCATTGCTTCTTCTTATGCCATGCTTGAAGCATAAATCACCCATTCATAATACATATTGCCCTCACTCTAGTCTTGTCATTTTTGCTAAATTTTATTTGCTTCCCCATTTAATTGAATGTTGTCTGACTGTAGCTTTGAACTCAGCTGCATC